GCTTCCAAACCGTTTATTTTGCATCTACAAAACCTTTTTTTCTCAATCTGATTAGCAATACAAATTAAAATGGTGTTTTCAATCCATTGAAATGATGGATTTGAATCAAATTGACAGTTCAAATCAATTAGATGTTTGGGTATGGCCAATTACACAACCTTAATAAAGCATTTCACCCTCCTTCCTTCCTTCCTTCCTTCCTTCCTTCCTTTCTTCCTTTCTTCCTTCCTTCCTTCCTTCTTTCCTTGCTATGGAAAAATTTCAATTTATTTAAAAAAAGAACAATCATTATTCAGATCAAACAGCAAAAACTACGGCTCAAAGTCTATTGAACACTAGAAAACATCAAAACATTTAAGTGCAAAATGAGAGAAAAAAGACGGGCAAAGCAAGGGGAAGAAACAAAGAGAGAGAAAGAGAGAAAGAGTTTGATCAACACCCATCTATCCATTATTTATGTATCTCTATATTCATATATCAAAAGGAATTGACCTTCATAGAACCGCTGGAAATGATATTGTGGGTAGTTAACACTGACATTTCAAAAGGGAGTGGCCTTTGATTATTCCAGCTTGAACCCTTTCAGGTACATTTCAGGAGTGGCAGAATAGGGACAAAAAGTAGGACAACAGGTGATCCCTCTTCTTTTCTGTCCCATTAAAGAAGCTATTTGATGGATCGGGACGATGTATCTGACTACAGTTTGGAATGCCTACCTAGACATAGTTACAATCCTCAACCTAACACCCAGAATTGAGCCCAAACAATCTGGTGCTAAGCAGGACAGTTGCTAAGGGAATTTTGTCCTGTTTTACAACCTTTTTTGACAGTTGTTTAGTGAATCACTGCAGTTGTTAAGCTAGTAACATGGTTGCTGCATGAATCTGGCTTCCCCACGGACTCTGCTTGTCAGAAGATTGCAAAAAGTGATCGCCAGTCATTAAGTCCCTTTTTTTAGTGTTGCTGTATCTAAATGCCACTAAAGGAATGGCTGTAATTCAGATGCCTGGCTATTTACTCAGATTTAAGGGGGAAGCCAGATTCACTTAACAACAGACTAATTTAAGAACTGTAGTTATTCACTTAACAACTGCGACAATAAAGGTCGTAAAATGGAGATATTCACTTAACAAATGTTTCGCTTAGCAACAGAAATTTTGGGCTCAATTGTGGTCATAAGTCAAGGACTACCTGTACTTGTCCTCTCCCATTGCAAAAGCCGTAACCTGCTATCCAAGTTTTTTTTTAACCTGCTGCCTGAAATTTCCTGACAGTTAGGATAATGAATCAGAAGTTGTGGGTGCTCCAACACTGGAAGCTTTTAAGAAGAGATGGGACAGCCATTTGTCTGAAATGGTGTAGGTTCTCCTGCTCTTTTGCAGAAGTTCTCAGCTAAGACTGCCATCTGCTTGAAACGCCCTTCTTGACATTTCTTTTTCTTTCCAGGTTCTGTGGAAAATATACTGCGAGATTGTCCTAAATGTCCAATTCTGTTGTCTCCGAATGACCCTCACGTGGTAGACTCTGTTGAATATGTGCTTGAGAAACACAATGCAAAACTTCCCGGCCACATTTACGAAATTTTTGAGATTTGAAGAGGGCAGCACAAAGTAAGTGTGCAGATGGTAAAAAGGAATTCTGATGATCTCTTCCAGTTTAATGTTTTGATACTTCATATAACTAAGAGAAAGGAGGAGGAGACAGGAGGAATTATGCTCTGCAAAAAGTCTAGGAACAGAACCAGATATCCACAAAGGAGAATATTTGTTGCTCAGGATTGAAATGAGGGGTCCTTCGTCCTCTCTGAGCTTCGTTGCTTTCTTGCAGACATTTTAGTAACGAAACTAGGTAACATCATCAGTGCTAGACCGACGATTGACTAGAACGGATGACGTTACCTAGTTTGGGTAGTGAAATGTCTGCAGGAAAACAACCAAGCGCAGCGAGCACCAAGATCCCGCAAAGAACCAGCTGCTAAGAAAAAAAGGAGAGGCAACTTTTCAAGAACCAGGGGCTCTAGCCGATTTTTTAAAATTTACGTTCCAGGCCTCTGACTGTAGTGAACAAGGATTCACTGACGTTTTATTTATAAAATATAATTACGGCCAATACCCAGCCAAGTGAAACATAGAAACAGCCACCAAGTAAAACAGAAGCAATGAAACAGTCATATAAAAAGCCAGGAAATCCTTATTTCTTAAGGGCTCTGGGGCTCACAAATTACCTCTCCCTCTGCCAAAGGAACAGGTGACCACAGGTGACCGTGGGATATGTGCAGCAGACAGGACTAAAATTCTTTCTCCCACCTCTTCAATTTTGCCATTTCTACCCACAACCCAACTAAAACGTCTCTTGTTTTGATTTCAGTATGAGCCTGAAGCTTACTATCTGGAGTTTGTTATTGTGGAGGTTAACTGCACTGCTCAGGAAGCCCACGATGACCATCATCAGTGCCATCCTTATACAGCAGGAGAAGACGTAAGTGCGAGGGTCAACTCCAGTCCTATCTGGGCAATTGCCATTTCTCTCTCTCTCTCTTATCTATCCTAGCAAACCCCGACCACATTCCAAATAAGTGTGCAAGGCCAAATATTCCACAGAGAGAAATTGAGAGTTGAATCTGGCTCTCAACAGCCCAAATCTTACACTTTAACCTCTGCATAACCTTAATTTCTTCACAATTCATCCAGAAATAATGCTTCCCCAAAACCTCCTGCCAACATCTGAAGAAGAATATGATGCCGATTTACTTTAAGGAATTGGGTTGTGACCTGACCGGATTCTTTCATTCAGTAGTAGCTATATCTTTTCCCCTGCATAGCAGTCCTTTGACCATTTGGGGGATTTATTTGGGTTCACCTGGAAATATCTTAGTTCTTCCTTCTCTCCCTCCCTTTCTCCAGCATATGGCATTCTGCAGAGCAACTGTTTTCAGGTCGCATGCTAGCCTGGAAAAACCTAAAGATGAAAAGTTTGAGTCGGACTGTGTCATCCTTGATGTCAAGGTATGTACGTTAAATGCAATTTTGTTCATCTTCTTTCCCCGTTCTCCACAGCAGTGTTTGTCAACCTCATCAACTTTAAGATGTGTAGATTTCATCTCCCAGGGAGTTGAAGTCCACCTATCTCTTGGTTTCTCTTCCAGCTATCGATTCCCCTGCATCCCTCACATGAGTAGATGCTCTGATATATAATAAAGTCTGATATGTAAACACTAGATTATTTTATTTATATACTTTTTTTTCTCTCAGATTATTATTTTAGTCTCAACACTTTGGATTGTATGTTGGGGTGAGAAAAAATAACTGGCTCAGAGCTACCCAGAAATTTATCTAGCCAGGAAGAGTTTGAATCTAGATCGCCCCAGTCGAACTCTGGCCCTTTAATTGCCATGCTATTAGTTCAACAAACTGTGGTTATAACACATTATGCCTTAATGATATGCCTTACAATAACATAAAGAAGATGGCCTCCAAGGTCCCTTCCATCTCTGTTATTCTATGTTCTGTTAACTGAAAGACTAATTGCTGTTTTTCAATTTTATTCATTTGATTTCTATTCCAACATTCACCAACTGCCAAATTACACCAAGTCCTCAATTACAGCAAGTCCTCAATTTAATACCACAACACCATTTTTTATTGTTGTGAGTTTTGCCCCATTATAAACCCTTTCTTGCCACAGTTGTTAAGTGAATCACTGCAGTTATTAAATTAGTAACACGGTTGTTAAGTGAATCCGGCTTCCCCATTGAGTTTGCTTATCAGAAGGCTGCAAAAGGGGATCACAAGACCCCAGGACACGGCAACCGTCATAAATAGATTCTGACTGCAAAGCATTTGAATTTTGATCATGTGACCATGGGGATGCTACAAAGGTCATAAGTGCAAAAAACGGTCATAGGTTGCTTTTTTCAGGGCTGTTGTATTTTCAAAGGGTCACTAAAAGAATTATTGTAAGTCGAGGACTACCTGTATTGAAAATATTAACAGCAGTTGGTTTTCTTGATTCTCTTTTGTCAAGCTGGATTTTAATGTGTTGGAAAGTTCAAAGCAGGATAAGCTTCAGGTTCAATGGCCGAAGAAAACTCATCAGTGCTTGCATGTTTTGTGTTTTTTTTTTTCCAGGATGGACACGCTCACTCCCATTTGATTCAGCAGCACATTGAAAAAAACAGTATTTCCCCAGAACACAACATTACTATCCTCAACTTCGTCCATCCAGACAATCATACAAGCACCTCACACGAGTCTCATGAACATGTGGCGGAAGTCCCAGTTGCTTTCGTCAAGAAAGAACTCCCAACAGATATATC